ATGTTAAACTAAATAAGCCAGTCACAGAGGAGAAATACACAGAGGAGATAAATCTTAGTTTTATGTAGAATCTAAAAAGATCAAACCCATACAAACAGAAAGTACAATGGTGGTTTGCCATGAACTGAGAAGAGGGAGAAATGGTGAGGTACTGGTAAAAATATTCAAAATCATTTAATATAAATTCTGGACATCTAATATTCAACATTGGGCATAAGATTAACAATATTGTATTGTCTACTTAAAAGTTCACTGAAAGGTATATTGTATGTTTAGTACCCTTACTGCAAAAGGAAAAACAAAAATTAGAGGTGGAGAAATCTTTTGAAGATCACAGATAAGTTTATGGCATTGATTTTGAGGATGATTGTTGCATAGGTATACTTCTTGCCAAACACATCAAATTATAGATATTATGTATCTATAGCTTTTTGTATGTCAGTAACACGTCAAAAAAGGGGTTACAAATAAAAGATGGCTGAAAATTTATCTATTTAGTTTATAAATGTCTCTCAATATATACATATGCAAAAAAAGCACAAATTACTTTTATGAGCAATGCTAAATGTCTATGTATGTAACATAATTGTAGGAAAAATATATGACCATTTTTCAACTTAAATTTTATTTTTCAAAGTTTTTAATTTTCCAATTTCAGAAGAGAAATAAGAACTCATCAAAAGATGAAAACGACCTTTAAGGTAACTTTTCTAGATATAAAATATTAAGGATTTAGAAATTTTATATATATATATAAAGTTGAATCCAAATATCCAAAGATAGTAACTTCAACATTTTAGCCTATTTTTAATGGAAAGGATTATTGATTATTTACCTTAGTATATCTCCATTATTTCTTTAAGAAAAAGCAATCTGTCATTATATAATTAGTTATACAGGTAAGAAGTAAAATAAAAAGACTAATTTTCAGGAAATTCTTATGAAACATATCAGGATTTACACATGCAATAAGTATTTTTCTATTCTGAAGAACACAGCTATTAAAGGAAATATTTTTTCAGAATACTTTCTTGAGATAACTTTTGTGCATGGCGAGAGGAGGGGATTCAGTTTCATTTTGTTGCATATGGATTTCCAGTTTTCCCAGCACCATTTGTTGAAGATGCTATCCTCCCTCCATTGCATGCTTTTAGCTCCTTTATCAAATATAAGATAGTTGTAGCTTTGTGGATTAGTCTCTGTGTCCTCTATTCTGTACCATTGGTCCACCCTCCTGTTTTGGTACCAGTACCATGCTGTTTTTGTTACTATAGATATCAAATCAGAGACTCTGCGTCTGATAGAAGAAAAAGTTGGCTCTGATCTACATATTGTAGGGTCGGGCTCCAAATTCCTTAATAGGACACCCATAGCACAAAAGTTGATAACAAAAATCAACAAATGGGACTTACTTAAACTGAAAAGTTTTCTCTCAGCAAGAGAAACAATAAAAGAGGTAAATAGGGAGCCTACATCATGGGAACAAATTTTTACTCCTCACACTTCAGATAGAGCCCTAATATCCAGAGTATACAAAGAACTCAAAAAATTAAACAATAAGAAAACAAATAACCCAATCAACAAATGGGCCAAAGACCTGAACAGACACTTCTCAGAGGAGGACATACAATCAATCAACAAGTACATGAAAAAATGCTCACCATCTCTAGCAGTCAGAGAAATGCAAATCAAAACCACCCTAAGATACCATCTCACTCCAGTAAGATTGGCAGCCATTATGAAGTCAAACAACAACAAGTGCTGGAGAGGATGTGGGGAAAAGGGTACTCTTGTACATTGCTGGTGGGACTGCAAACTGGTGCGGCCAATCTGGAAAACAGTATGGAGACTCCTGGGAAAGCTGGGAATGGAACCACCATTTGACCCAGCTATTGCCCTTCTTGGACTTTTCCCAGAAGACCTTAAAAGAGCGTACTACAGGGATACTGCTACATCGATGTTCATAGCAGCACAATTCACAATTGCTAGACTGTGGAACCAACCCAGATGCCCTTCAATAGATGAATGGATAAAAAAAATGTGGCATTTATACACCATGGAGTATTACGCAGCACTAAAAAATGACAAAATCATAGAATTTGCAGGGAAATGGATGGCACTAGAGCATATTATGCTTAGTGAAGCTAGCCAATCCCTAAAAAACAAATACTAAATGTCTTCTTTGATATAATGAGAGCAACTAAGAACAGAGCAGGGAGGAAGAGCAGGAAGAAAAGATTAACATTAAACAGATACATGAGGTGGGATGGAAAGGGAGAGAAAAGGGAAATTGCATGGTAATGGAGGGAGACCCTCATTGTTATACAAAATTACATATAAGAGGTTGTGAGGGGAATGGGAAAATAAACAAGGAGAGATATGAATTACAGTGGATGGGGTAGAGAGAGAAGATGGGAGGGGAGGGAGGGGGGATGGTAGAGGATAGGAAAGGTAGCAGAATACAACAGTTACTAATAGGGCATTATGTAAAAATGTGGATGTGTAACCGATGTGATTCTGCAATCTGTATTTGGGGTAAAATTGGGAGTTCATAACCAACTGGAATCTAATGTATGAAATATGATATGTCAAGAGCTTTATAATGTTTTGAACAACCAATAAAAAAAATTTAAAAAAAAAAATTAAAATTTAAAAAAAAAAAAAAAAAAAAAGAATACTTTCTTGAGAACTACCTTAAAGTTCAATAGATAAACATATTAGTTACCCATCTAGGAATCATTCCATAATGAACTGTATGTAGCACAGAAATATAACATTCTAGAATTTTACAAAAATCTTATTGCTTATTCTTGAAAAAACTAAAAACTGATTTACCATTTGATCCAGCAATCCCACTTGTAGATATAAATTCAAAGAAATTGAATATCCAAGAAATATCCACGGTCCACTTTAGATCTCATAATAACCAGGATTTTAAAGCTTCTATATTTACGCATTTAAACCAGTATATTTACAAATTATGTTGATCATTTTCAGAAATCATTTAGTATTAATAATTCAGGAAATCTTCATGAAAATAAGCGATAGAAAGTAAATGTATTTCTAAAAATACAATTTTAATATAAAATTATATAAGTCAAACTTTATCTTTTATCAATTCCTGATTTTGAAAAAGTTGGGCATGTATCAATACTACTAAGATGGCTTAAAGATTTAATAAAAATTCTATCTATGAATAAATTGAATCTCTTAATACTAAAAATTTAATATAAAATTAAACACTTGATAAAATGTGTTAATATTCATACTGTGTTATTAAACCCAATACTAAATTTTTTATAAACTACTTTTAGGACCAAATAACATGGTAAAAAGTTGTTCTTACTCTAAATTCCACTCAATTTCACACCTACCTTTGGCCAACGCTCATTTTCAAAAACTTTGAAATATTTAAGTGTATTTCTAAACCTAATAAGTATTAATAGTCTTTGAATTTTTGAAAGTGACTTATGAATGGCGAGATGATAATGATGAAGATGAAAGTGTAATGACAATATGGTAATTTATCTAATATTTCTAGAAATAGCTACTTAATTAGTTCAATAGCCCCCATAAGATATTTATAGTGAACAGCAGGGTATATCTTTCTACACAAAAGAATTTTGAAAAAATACTTACATAATTAATTTAGTAAACTATACATTGTCAAATATTATGCCTCTTTTACAAGTAGCAAAGTAAGATTGTACAGAGAAATACTGTGTCCTGCCTGGGCCCTGACTTATATATTACCTCCTTTTTTTATGTGCAGTAGAATCCCCTACATACACCTTATGTCCAAGAGCTACTATTTAGTACATGTCAAGCTTATGAGTACAATCAACATCAGATGAGGTAATCATAAGCAATCAAGTTAGTACAGATTTAAAGAACTACACAGTCCTGCCAGGTGCCCAAGATTTCATGTCTCTTAAAAATCTGCATACTCACCCTCCTGCTATTTTGAAGGGTTATAATTCTTCTAGCCAATTCAACTCTTAGGTCTAAGACTGAATTAGTTCCTGCATAAGAACAAAGACTTTTTTCCTTTTGAACCCTGGATGTGATTTTTAAGGACTTTTGCACAGAATGATGCTTCCTTCGACCAACTAGACAAGTATCCCTCTAGTTAAGTTTTAGGTGTTTGCTGTCAGATATTTCCCCAGGTTCTTGCCCCAATTCTACTTCTAAAAAAGGGAACTGAATTTCCACCATCCCAAATTCAATCTGTCCTTCTTTTACGATCTACTCTACAACTGTTTTTCCAGCCCCTTTAAAACACCTTTTCCTCATTCATACATGCAATTTTTCCCTAAAGAAAAATTCTCCTTCTTGTATTTCCTTTCTTTTTCCATCATTCTACTTCCTGATAAAATCAGCTTTCTAAAATTATTATCTTATTGTCACTTTCCTTAAAATCGCTCAAACCAAAGATAATCCACTGACCTTCCTCAAGAATTTTTTTTAAATCATATATTTATTTTTGTCTAGGATCTTCTGCTTTCTTGTTTGACATTTCCTTTAATCCATAACAAATTTTATTTGGTGAACTGAATTCAGTGGCAGGAACAGTCTTAAGATTTATAGCCAAAATTTTCAAAGGGAGAATGGAATATTTGTGTGTATGTATTTGTGTGTGTCTATTTAAAAATTGAGAAGTAACCATTTACAGAAATCTTGCCATAAATATCTTTGGAAACTAAAGAATTACTATCTTATTTTTGTAAATCTGATATTTCACAAATCAGACATGCTTAACAATAAGAAATACCTTTAACAGTTAGGAGTTAGGCCTACTCTTTATCCTAAGCTTCAACAATATCTCAAATATCCTTTGTATTTCATTTTAAAATTATGAGCCTAAGTTTCAAGATGAAAAAGAAAAAAGAAAAGAAAACCAACCATTTCTTAAGTGCCAAGACAAAATAATAGATGACCCAAAGCATTTGGGTTAAAAAGAAAATTGATAGTATAACTTTGTAAAGCGTATGTTCACTTACATAATCATGGAAGGCTTTTGCTTCACTTGAGTGTTCACATGTTTCCCGTCTCTCTGGAGCTGCACAGTAGAGATCCCAAAATACACTAAAAAAGTAATTATGGTAACATTAAGAAAATCCTGTAACACCAAAATGAGAAATCAAAATTCCAATAGTATAAGACATATTATTCTTCATATAAAATTTTTCTTATTAAGGGCAAGTATTGCTTTATAAGATTTAAATTCAGGAAAGGCATATCATCTAATAATCAGGTGACACCTAGCTGTACTTCAGAAATGCTAAATAAGATTTTTCTAGAAGGATAAAATCATTTTAAATCAGCCTCCCATCTCATCCCCAGTAGTCCTAAGGATTGATCTCAGTGCCTTATAAAAAAACAAATAAATGAATAATAATAATTCAATAACTTTCATTCTTAAAATTGGCTATTTACTCTATGCATTTACACTTGATTGAGGTAGTTATAATACTTTTTCCAATTTTCCCATGAAATAGGACATGGAAACAGTAAGTACTGGTTGAGTACTAGTAATAGGACATGGAAACAGTAAGTAAGACTTGAGTACTGCCATAATTTCCTTTAATGTCTTTATTATTTCCTTTCCTATTAAATGAAAAGAAAATCCATATTCTTTTCTTATTAGATTTCTACAAAAAGCAAGACATATAAGGAAGATATTAAAGAGAAAATAATTTAAGTAAATTTCAATTTTTTTAGGAGAGTGAAAGTTAAAGTTGTAGTTGGCCTCCAACAGCCCCACTGGGAAAAAGAGTTTACACTCAAAGATATTCAAGGGTACACCTAAAAGTCTTCTACTTGGATCAGTGTGTTACGAATTATAGTATATTGCAATTACTTGTTTTCAGGTTCTAAGAACCTTCAAAGCCCTTAAAGTCAAATTTTTAATGTGGTCTTTAAATTGTACTTAGATTAATAATAGGATATTATATTTAATATTATGGAACAGTTTAATATCCCTTCTCTGTCACTAATTTTCTAGCAAATATCATAAGAACTCTCCTTGAAATTATTTGAATATATTACTTAAATATATTAAAATATTATTAAAATATTGTCTTACACAATGATCTTAAGGGGAAATAATTTTTATAGAGTATGTCAAAAGTTATTAAATATGAGAAACAATTATTTACACCTGTATAATGAAATATTCATCTTAGAATATTAACATTGTTCTACTTTTATTGTTAAGTTTGTCCTATAAGTTTAGTATGGAAGGTCAAAAGTCCACAAGCTCAAGTTTAGAACAAGTTACTAAAATATAAATAATAAATTTATGTTATTTCTGAGAACTCCATATTATTTATATATAATCTTCTTTAATAAAAGTAAAGAAATTATCCTTTCAAAAATTTACTCATGGCAAGCCCTGTTCTAGGTCTCATCTGTAGTGCCTAAGACATGTATGTCCATTCTCTTCTGTGAATTCACAATATCTATTCCATCAATTCAAACATTGATACAGAGGTCACCAGAAAGATATATGACGAGAGGAGATTAAAGAATATTCATACAAATAGGGCAAATCTTCAATTTAAAAAAAAAAACTCTACTCATTAGGATAGTTTCATAATTGAATCTATAATAATCTTGAGATATATGTTATGAAACTTAAAGAATAAAATTAATAAAAATTAAATATGGACAGATTTATTTTTAGTGCTAGGATATTCATGTTTGTACATATGCTTTATGTATTTCATAAGCATTGTATGTTCTTATACCTAAGAGTTACAGATAGGAAAGATATTTCAAAATTTTGTCTTTCCTAGAAAGTTCAATCATGTTTGGCCTCAGTACTATGCACCATAACTGCTACAATATTGTTATGGTTTCAATGTAAGGTGTCCCTCAAAAGCTCACGTGTGAAACAATGCAAGAAGGTTCTAAGGAGAAATGAATGGGTTGTAAGAAGAGTCTTAACCCAATCAATGATATAATCCTCTAATAGGGATTAACTGAGTGGTAGGTTAGTGGCTGGAGGAGGTGGGAATTGTGGCATGGCTTTGGGTATATATTTGTACCTGTCCAGTGGAGTTTTTCTCTCTACTTCCTGACCACCATGATGTGAGCTGCTTTCCTCTGCCACACTCTCCAGCCATGATATCCTTCCTCACCTTGAGCCCAGAGGAATGGGAGCCCTCTGTCAACCTTTGAAACCATGAGCTCTCAAACTTTTCCTCCTCTACAATTGTGCTGGTTGGATCCTTTAGGTACAGCAGCAAAAAAGCTAACTAAAACAAATATCATCTTAATATTTGAAAACAATTAGCTATAGCACATTATCAATAACAACAAAAGACCAAAGTACATTATTTTAGTCCACATTCCAAAAGTGATCCGTGCTTGGCTTTGTGGGAGAATAGAAAATCACTTACCTTTTACAGTCTCAATTTGTAATTTTAAGCAGGTTAAAACTTATGAATACTTTGTGAATAAAAATAAAATATAAACTACTTTTTCTTCTAATATTATATCAAATTTACATTAAATGCCTGGTCTATATAATGTTATGCCATATACTATCCCAGAAAAAAATAGACATATAATCAATGGCACATGTATGACTGTGAATCCAAAACCAGTGATGAGATAAGCTAAAAATTGCTTATTGCCTAAAACACCTAAATGAGGAAGTTATACCTCATTAAGCTATTAAAATTTCACAGATATGAGCAAATGCTTATAGCTCATATTATGACAATATGATGATTACCACGTGAAAATACAGACTTTCTCAAGAGGAAGAACTGAGCTTTTCAGGAGGTTCATAGTAAAACTTGATTTGTCCATTGGGGAGATTTCATTGGTGAATATTAGTGAACTGCTCTGAAAACCAACTCAATTTGTTACTTGATTCCTAAGAGGGCCAGAGTAAAAACTTCAGGACCTACATAAACACAGACTGTTTTCTTCAACCACAGATTCTGAGAAAAGGGGGCTTCTCAATTCCTCTAATTCCTACACCTATTAAGCTTGGAAGGAATATATTATCTTTGAAATGTAGTGAATTCATAATCACACATAATGCTTTAGATTTATGCAGCATCTTTTTTCTTAAGTGAAAACAAGTGAAAAATCTGAATTTTACTAGTGAAAACAACAGAGGCTAAATACAGAGAAGCAAAATTTACAAAGTACTAAAATCTTTGGTCTTCTACAAGTATTATTAAAATCATCTGGGCATAAGTCAACATCAAACATAGCGTTCCCAAATTGATTATTCTCACTCAAATACTGCTTTCCCTTCAATTCCCAAAGGTGGCAATAAAGGTGACTGAGCTAGCTATTCATATCTCAAGGGAACACACAAAGAAAAATGGCTCTAAGAGATATCTACAATGGTGAATAAACATGCAAGATGTGTTTTAGAAAATAAGAATCTAATATAATTATGTATGTTTTATGCAGCTAACCAAATCCAGGACTTCTTGAAAATAAAAAGTTAAAAAATAAGAACCCTGTGGAAAATAATTTTCCTGTGGAACAAGCTATGTATTGTTAAATTCAAGTCTTAATGGCTAAACAAGTCATTTCTCTCTGGCCTCAAAATAGATCAGTGAATCTTAGTTACTCAAAATTCCTGCTATACTTTGGACTCCCAAAGGCCCATAAGGCTTAATCTCCAGCGTGGTACTTTTTTAGAGGTGGTAATAATTTTAACAGGTGGACCTTAGCAGAAGGTTTCTCGTCAGTAGTTGTGTGTCCTTGAAAGAAACAGAGGGACCCCAGTACTTCTCTTCCTTTTTCTCCTTCCTTTTTGTCCCAGACATTGAATGGGTTACTCTACCATGAGCTTTTACCATGATGAGCTACTGTAGTCCCAAAGCAAATGGGACTAAAACCTCCAAACCTGTGAGCTAAAATAAGTCTTTTCTCTTTTTAAGTTGATTGTCTCAAAATTTGTTACAGTAATAGAAAACTGACTAACACAGTCTCTCTTGAAGAAAAACACCCATTCATAGGTGGTTATACTTAAAATATTTATATGCTCTTCACCTTTAAAACTTTCAAATACATGCACATTATTATCCCTTAGGATTCCTTAATACTTCTTTTTTTATATTTATTTTTTAGTTGTAGTTGGACATAATGCTTTTATTTTACTTATTTATTTTTATGTGGTGCTGAGGATTGAACCCAGGGCCTCACACGTCTCCCTTCAATTCCCAAAGATGGCAATAAAGGTGACTTAGCTAGATATTCAATCTCAGGGGAACACACAAAGCAAAATGGTTTGTGGAAAACCTTAGCTCTACTACTAAGCCGTTACAACCCCAGCCTATCCTTAATACTTCTTCAAATAAAAGCATAAAATCTTTTTCCACTATCACAAAATGTTTGCAATCCTCCTGAATTAATAAATTCATATTTTAAAGTATGACCAAAAATAGTTAACATGTATTGAGTATGTACAAAATTCAAGCATCACATATTAAGCACTATATATTTAGCATTTGATCTTCCTATTATTATCCCCATTTTATATATGAGTGAACTGAGACTAAAAAAAGTTAAATAATTTGCCTAAAGCCACAGAGTTAGTGACACAACTGGACTTGAATTTTTTTCTCCTTGTTCTGAGTCTTGAACCCAAGTCTCACATATGCTAGGCACGTGCTCTATTATTAAGCTTCATCCCCAACCCTTTTTTAAATTTTAAGACAGGATCTTGCTAAATTACTGATGCTGGCCTTGAACTTGTGATCATTCCTGCCTCAGCTCCCGAGTTGCTGGGAGTAGCTAGGATTATAGATGTGCACTGCCAGTACTCTGGCACATCACTATCCCTTTTTTTATTTTGAGATAGGGTCTCACTAAGTTGTCTCAAAATTTAATCCTCTCACTCAGCCTCCTGAGTGTAGTTGAGAATACAGACCTATGCCACAGATCCTGGCTTGAACTTTTTAATAATTACATTATTTTGCTTCAAATATGAGTATGGTATTAAGTGTCCACATTTCAATGATCTTTATTCTGATTATAGATAGGTTTATACAACTCTAGAAATCTGAATAGCATTAGCTATCAAAAGAATTTGTCCCAGATGAGACAGTAAGCACTGTTATCCTAAATTTGACCCTCAGATTTTTAACCCATTTCCTGAGTATCCTTTGGCAACCACTAGCCTATCTTATATGCAACTGCCAGTGATCTATAGATGCCATAATATAGACAGAACTCAGGACAGAAAACTTTTCTTAGTCCCTTTTTATATACTGCCTGGAACCTGCCTCTCCTGATACTCCGAAAGGAAATGCTACAAAAGTCCTATTAATAATAGTGGGCAACTGAATTCATCTCTGTGAGTAAGAAACATTATCTGGCAGAACTCCTGGCCATTCACCCACGCAGGACCTCCTGGTGCATGAGTAGGACCACTAGCATTAGCATCCACATCAAACTCCTGGTCACCCACCCATGCAGGAATCCTGGGTGCTGCTCCCAGGCAGGACACCCAGCCATTGCCCACGTGCAGGAACTCCAGCTGCCACTCCCATAGGGACCCCCATCTGCCAAAATGCGGCTCACCCAGTCACCTCCATCTAGGGACACTGCAACCACTGACATAGTCCCTTACATGTGGTAGCCTATACCGGAGAACACAGCACAGGGTTTGGAGACAACCTCCAGTCATAACACGGATGCCACAGAGCTGCATCTCTGAACATGCCACCCATCACCACTGCCTGGCCCCACCCAACCCGACACCCAATTGGTGAAAACAGCTACGTCCATCTGGGACACCTTCGTTGCCATCTTTAATTGGGGCAACGCCCAGCTTGGAACACCAGTTGGGACTTAGAAGCAATTTCAAGGTATCTTCAGTCCCCAAATTTCCCCTCTCCCCGGCAGCCACTAACCAGGCACAGTGCTTGCAGCTACATGGCTGATTTGTAGCTTGCAAAACCTGGTTCTGAAATGCCCAATACAAAACAGCTCTCCACAACAGGTGCACAGCCCCCAGAACTCAGCCCTCAAGACCTCAGGAGAGAAATGTTAGTGATTGGGAAGTAGAAAGGGAGAGGGTGAGATACAGTTCAGAGACTAAATTAGAGACCAGGAATTGTGAGGTTTGCAGGAGATATAATCACATCACATGAGTGAGCCCCAAAGGAGATCCTTGGGGTGCAGTCTCCCATCAGGGACCAAAAATGCTATACCCCACATCCAGGAGCTCCACCCACAAGATCAACCCTCCCCCCTAATAACCTTCACCATCCTGAGAGTGGAGATACCAACAAACAACAGCAACCCCACCTATTGAACAAGAAGGGAAACAGGAAAGATACTGATCTCCAGCAAAAATAATCCTGATATCTTCCTTCAAGATTTTTTTTTTCCTCTTTCTCTCTTCTCCTGCCCTCACATCCGCAACAGTTGTGAAACCAAATACATTTCATGAATTAGGCTACTGAGGACTTAAATGTCGGAATAGTCTATTATAGTTGTGTTGTATATTCTTTCATCTCCTATATTTACATTTTATAGTTTTCAAGATATTTTTGTTTTTTTACACTATTGTCTTCCTACTTCCAAAATCACTTTCTCTCCCTTCTCCTGCTACCAACCAACTTCTTTAGATTCCTCTTTCATGCTTTCTGAGATCAAATAACTCTATATCCTCACCTCCTAAATGCTCAACATCTCACCCTACACCTTACCCTGGGTTCTTTGTCCACCATTAGAAACTGTAAATCCTTTTGCAAACCTACTTTTTGTATTGTAGATAATAATTGAACTCACCATTTCTGCATATTGTGACAAAACCATAAATGTCTTAATAGCAGCTATTTGGTTTAAGGTTGCATATTGTTTGTATTGGGATCTGTTAATATTCTTTCTCCAACTTAAAGGGGAGGAATTTAAACCCTTCAGAGACACTATAAGCCAATAGGGTAAAAACTGTAACACTTCAAATCCACAGTACCAGAAGAGAAGACACACAAACAACATGAAAAAAACAAGGAAAGAAAGTGCCCCAGACAAGATACTACATCATTAGAATCCATGGCCAGCACAACAGAAGAAATCAAAGAGGAGGAGTTCAGAATGTACATAATTTGAATGTACATAATTTAATTGTGAATTAAAGGATGATGTAAGAGAGCAGACTGTGGAACCAACCCAGATGCCCTTCAATAGATGAATGGATAAAAAAAATGTGGCATTTATACACCATGGAGTATTACGCAGCACTAAAAAATGACAAAATCATAGAATTTGCAGGGAA